AGTACGTACGTAGAGAGAGAGAGAGAGAGAGAGAGAGAGGGTCATAATTTGACGTCGGTATAACATGATCGCCGATATTCTGTATCTCTGAATGGACGATCGAATATCACGTTCGTTTCCTGACAAAGATGGACGATAATTTCTGCAACATCCGTTAATATATATATATATATATATATAGACAACACAGACATTGCGTTTCACGAAATCGATCATGAAAGATGATCAATTGTTCAATTGATTTTCGTGACTACGAAACGATCGTGATTAACACGATTCGTTACAAAATTCTTAAAATTCCATCGACGTCCATTTTGAGATGGAAAAAAAAAAAAATATCGAAACAGTCTGATCGACACCACTTCCTTTGGACGGATGGACGTAAGTCAATGTCAAGTCATTACCAATTCGATGATTACGTGGGGCTCCTTGAAGTTGCTGAATTTTTTCGCGTTTCTCATTATTTCCGACTTGACGTCGACACCGGCGCACTCTATGATAATCCGAGGACTCAGCACGGGCATGTAATACAGCTTTTTCATATCTCTCACTCCCCAAAATATTATTTCAAGCCTGTAACTCGCCATTTTCGGCCTGATATCATCCGGTATACTGTAAATGGTATCCAGCATCGAGCGATGAATCGGTTTGTCTAGGTCTTCGTTTTCTTCCTTCACCTGTTCACAAGAATTAAATCGTTCAACTTTTCTTAATAAAAAAAAAAAAGAAGAAGAAACCTCTGCTCTCAATCAAAGATAAATAAAATATCAATCGTGAAACGTTATTTATATTCGCGTTACTTTTTATATTCTAACATCGAGTTTATGTACGACTTGTATATTTATGTCATGAATTGGCTTCCCCCCTTTTTTGCGATGCGACACAACAACGAAACAAAGGCACATCTATGTAACATAGTTTATATTCCCATTCCCTTTATTAAATACACATCTCTAACCTCGTATACTTTATTTTAATCGAATCATCTCACGATATCGTATCCCCCCAATATAACCAACATTCGTACATTTTTATCGCATAATGCTAGGACAGAAGGGTTGATTAGCGCGGATAACCTCTGTTTCTCGTGCGCGATACGAATATCGATCGAGTATCGCATCCCTTACCTCTATGAGCTCGAAGGCGGCGAGCACCGAGCCAGAGAAGTCCCTTTGAGATTTAAATTTGTGCCAGCCAAGTTTGGGAGGGAAATCGGGCGGGGAGTAAGTTTCCTCCGCTAGTTTAACTAATGGAACGGCCGTGCATCTTCCGCAGAACTCCTTTATGCCCTGTGAATTTCGACACGTAACGATTCCGTGAAACTAATTCCTCGTTTCACATTCGTCTCGATTATTTATCAATTACAACGATACATGAATCAGATTCATGTGGAACGAATCGCCTATATGCAAGCGGGATCGTTCGAAAAAAAGAGGATCCACTCACGCATATGTCCAAGTCGTACACCTCCAGTATCACTATAGGCGGGTTTAATTTAATGTACTCTTTCGATCCGTGCACGGTTCTAGGCGGTAATATCAAAGTTTGATCCCAGAACGGGTCCAGGGTCTGCTTAACAACCTGAAAAATTTACAATACTTTCAATCCCCCGGAGCACGTTTCCAGCTGTAGAAGCGAAGAATTTTCGATGCGACGCTCGATAATTCAGCGCTCGACGGATCCAAAGAAGTTTGAATATTCCTTCTTAGGAGTAAAAATATCCATTTACCGAGCAACGGATCCAAGGAAATGTTAATAAGAGAACGTGATGTTTCGCGAGGAAGAGAATTATTATGGACACCCGATTGAAAACTTACCCTGGTGGAGATCGAGTAACCGTGGAAACAGACGCGTACCAGCGGATCCAATAAGCCGGATGTGTCCATACCGGGATCGAAGTGACCTTGGAATATATGAGCACGCAACTGAAATGTCTGCGACCGAATGGCAAACTAACTTTGTCGTTTCGTTCGAAATATTTCCAATGGTATTGGGGCGGCTGAACCGTTTCTAAAAGTTTCGAGAGGGATCAACGTCAAGTTTGTTTCTCGTTGAGCAATCGCTATTACGCGAGAGAGGGATTACATGGGAACACGACGAGGGGTTCGAATTCTTTGAAAGGATTATTATTTTGAAACGTTCGTCGATGCTCGATCGAGTTTTAAAAAAAAAACAAAACTTTTCTTTAACATTGCGTAAAATTTTAATCGAACTCGCAATAATATCATATTCAACGGTCTGACAGAATTCTAATGTGGGATTTCATCATCAACTATGAGAGCTATAAAAAAAAAGAATGTTGTTTCGATCAATCCCCTTTTTCGAGGGATAAAACAAGGCTACATTTTTTTTCTTCTCCAAAGGTAACTCCTTTTTCTTTGTTTTTAATTATTCTTTTTTTTTTTTTTGTTAAATTTTCATGAATTATTCGAGCAAAAAACAAAGAAAAAAGGTTGGTGTTCTAAAGCAATATGACACTTATATATAAACGAACAGGCATTAAGCGTTTGTAATATTCAGTTGTGCATAGAGAAAGGTGTGCACGCTTATGGGACTGCATCGTTGGGATAATATAATTACTTTTGTCAACGATGCGTGTGATCGTGTCATATTGCTTTATAACTTCAAAGTAATTAAAAAACAAGAAAAAGGAGTTACTTTTGGCGAATAAAAAAATGTAATTGCTGTTTTATTTAGCCGTCTCTTGAATTAATTAAACCTTTTCTCCCCCCCTTCCCCTTTATACAGGGCGAAATATACGCGTTCAAGCTTGACCTTGTTCCCATCGAAAAATTTTCCATCGAAATTGTCGTACCGTGGAATGAGTGTACTCCAAATATTTCGGGAACGTGTAGATAGTTTGCTCGTGATTCACGCTGTAACCAGGAGGGATAGAGGACCAACAGGCAGCTGTAAGTAACGTAGGAACAATGATGAAAAACAGACAAATGTTAGCAGTCTGTTCAGTCTCTTGTTTTGGATGATTGCTGAAGCAAAAGTATTGTAGATTAATTGTAGATTGATAGAAATTATAGTAAAAGAGAGATTTGAAGTTTTAGATCAGTATTGTTCAGATAACTTGTCGATGACAAAGTTAGAAATAAGCTGATTGAAAATTTGGAAAAGAAACAAAGCTGTAAGTAATAGAAAAAATTAACAGAATGAGAGTTTAATTTAGAGGGCAAAGCTACGAACAACGAAACTAATATAACGATTATAACGAAAAACAGACAAGAGTTAGCAGTCTGTTCAGTCTCTTGGTTTGGATGGTTGGCGAAGCAAAAGTTATGTAAGTAAATCAATAGAAATTATAGTAAAAGAGAGAGATTTGAAATTTTAGACCAAGTTTAAAGGAGAAAGAAAGAAAGCAACAGAGCTAATGAATACAAATTTCAGTGAATATTGTTCACTGAGTTATATGCACAATTTTAGTGTAATACAATTCATAAATTTGTGACTTCAGGCCCAAGTGGACATTATTTTGCGATTTTACATCCTCTTTTTCGATTTTGGCAAAAGAAAAAAAAAAAAGATATAGAATTAGCGACCAAAAGTCTCCAATTATTAGTTTCTCCTCTATTTTTCTTAACAGTTACGCACCGATATAATCAGCGTTTCCAAGCCAGAGGAAAATTTCAAGCTTGCAGGCCATGTAATCGGCCTCGTCGTCGTCCCCTGGATTTCTCAGAAACACGTCCATTCGACGGCCGCAAAGCGATCCCTTCTCCGCCCTTTCCTCCGAGTAAATAATTTTTTCGGCCGGAAATCGCGCGTACGCCACCCGCCGCTTCGACCCGGTTATCATCCAAATGAAAATGTCCGGGAGACTGTGCTGGGGCTGGTGAATTTATAAAGGGGTATCCTGTATCGCATGGTGAAATGAATTTTCCATGACGGTGCACGAAACTAGAAGGACACGCGCGCGTTTAAATATTTCACGATTTGCAAGGGAAAGAAGAGAAGGTCAGCATTTTCTCCCATTCTCCGTGGAAGATCCGTGGAATAAGAAGAAAAAGAAGAGGAGGAGAGGATGGGATCGGCGAGAAAAGGTAAAAAGTTTTGGAACGACTTTTGTTCCCTTTTCCCCCTTTCCACCAGGAATCAGTTTCTTGCGTCTGTCGCGAAATTGAACTAGTTGTCAAAGGGGGGAAAAAAGCTGCAGCTAAGTTTGGACTGTCTCGCTGCAGTATTTAAAACTTCCTCTTTGTGTGTGCCACTCCTCCTTTTCCTAATGTAATGAATTTAATACGCCTCTGAAAGGAATTCCTATATAATCCGGAAAATCCTGCCATTAAAGAGAAAATCCAGGAAAGCTATCGAGGGTGAAAGGAAATATCGATGAAATTTCTCGAATCGAAATCTTTTCGTAGAAGTTGTTCAAACGAAATATCATCGAACAAAATTTCAAACAAATATCGTTTCTTTCAAAATTAAACCGAAAAAGGATCACAAATAGAAATTATCATCCCGTTAAGACGGAAGTATTTTTTTTTTTTTTCTTTTCAAACGCTCGTTTATTCGAATCATAAAAAAGTCGTAAGAAAAAAACGAGTAAAGTAAAAACGACTCACATCTTCTCGTAGCTTCTTCACTTTGCCGAGATACTGGTATCCGTGCACCATAGCGATCCTGATGTAATTGTTGTTCGGAAGTTCGCCGTTGATGCTGATCCTCTTCAGAATGTTCTCGATCTCGTTACGGCAGAAATTCACGCGATACCGATCGAGCTTCGTGCTACCACCCTCGTCGTCGTATCGCCTCGTGTCTAATATATCCAAATATCGGATGCAATGGTTGTTCAAGCCACGAATCATCGCGTTGTAGTATATGTAAGCATCGGCGCTCTCGAGTGCAACCATGCCTTCCAGTTTCTCCAACTTCTCCTCCTGTCGAGACGAATTAAAATTATTCTGGAAATCGCTGTGCCAGTTTCGAAACAAACTTGCTCCCTCTCCCGCGATTACACCGTGAGAACCTTGCTCCTGATATATTAAATATTTCTTTCGATTCGGTGGAATGCTCTCTTTCAATCACGAACGCTCATCACGAATTTTCTAAGTTAATTACCACGTTTCTGTGAATTACTTTTCGAGAAAGTGGCCAACTATCGAGAATTTTGAATAAAAAAATTTTCGTCTTTATCTTTTTCGATTTTACATACATCGATTTCGAAGGAATTCGTGGATTCGAAAGTTCAAATATGTATCTTACGCTCGTCTCGATTCTATTCTACCATAAAAATTAAAGTCTAATTAAAATTATTTCGCAACATAGCGTGGAACCTCTATATTCCAAAAAATTTCTTACTTACGATCAATCATTCTCTTTTTTTCCCTCCCTACCCTTAATTTTCAAATGGAAAAGAATAAATTGTACATTCGTCCAATTCGATATTTCAATATATATAGAACATAGAAGTTCCATTGTATTCAATTGTTTGCCAGAGAAGAACAAAATAATAATAATAATAATAAAGATTATTCAAGATTCGCATAATCGATTCTCACCAGGAAATTAGCGATGAAAGTCAAATAATTACTGTTATGCATCCGCCACTCGAGATTCGGCCACCAGGACTTAACGTAGAGGCAGGGTTTTCGCGATCCAAGAGGCACATAATTATATTTCCCGTCCAGCGTCCCAGTGTATCGCGACACGGTCTCACTCTCGAACTCGGGCCACCGATCCGGCGTCTGGTTTCCTGTCGAGGATTAATCGCGATTTGCACAGGGCGGCGATGCGTGACACGGCAAACTCGTCTCGTGTATTATTCGAGAAATTGGTAGGAGAATGGCGGAGAGTGTCGCCGCGTCTGTTGCGGAACTCTCGAGTAGTTTCGGATCATTTTGTTAAGGAAAGTTCACACCGATCTAATACCTTCCTTATCCTCGTCCTCGAAGCATTGGCTATGGCCGAATTGTTTGTTGCCCGCGTTCCCGATGCTGATCTCGAAGAATATCGATCTCATCCAAAATCTCCTCCGGTCGATCATGCTCGCGTCGTACAACACTGCGACCAGATAATATTCCTCCGTTGTCCACAAGCTTTTCTTTGAGAGAAGAGAGAGAGAGAGAGGGATCGATGTTAATGGTTTCGAACTGGATGTAGAGCGAGGAATTTTAATTAATCTCTCCAAGAGATTAAGCTTTTCTTCTTCTTCGATCGAATCGAATTTTTGTTGTGGAAGAAAATTCTCGTAAAATCGACAACTGTGACGGTTTGACATTAAATTGAACGTTATAACAATCCTCCGTTCCGTGTAGAATCACGCGAGGGGATCGTTAAATCGATGAACCGAGATTACGTTGGATTATCTTGTGTATTATTTATGCACCCGTTCTTTTGCACACGATATGAAGCGTGCGGTTTTAAAATTAATCTTTGTTGATTTCGACGAATCTCGAGATCGCTCCTTTCCGTTATATTCACTCTTTGATTTTAGAAATTCGTTTTCTTCCAAATGTGAAGATTTCGATCGTGCAATATTTATGAGAGTGAATTGCACGAGGTGCGTCTGATCAGAGACAGTCTGTTTCTACTTAAAACTAACTTCTTGCTTTCGATTTGTCAAAACTTTTGAAAAGAAAATTTTGAAATTTCAGCTTACAAATTTAGAAATTTCGTTGAAATTTCAAGGCAACTTTTTGGAAGCAATTTGACAAGAGGAGGAAATTAATCTATAAAATGCATCGGTACAGACCTCGATAATGGGAGCCGCGGGCTCTGTTTTACTGCTAATTCCAGAAGCCATTTCCGAATCATCGATTTCAGTTTTTAAGGACACGAGAACTCTTCCTCGATACAAAGGAAGAGGTGAGAAACATTTGCCGAAACAAGTGTTCCTTTCGGTGGTTCCGATTCCGTAAAAATGAAGGAACGATGGGCCAAAAGTCGGCATGAAATCTAATAAAAATTGAAAGAAACAAAAGTTCTACTCCACGTTTATCACATATTCACGTAACCGATATTTTTTTGCAATCTAAATTGTTCGAACAATGTTTCATTTCGCAAAAAAAAAAAAAGAAAAGAAAGAAGAAAAAATAGGCGCAATAAAAAGTAAGAAATAGTTGAAATATCGGGTCGAAATAGAAATTGAATTGAAAATGAAGGGAAGAAAAAAAGCGATAAATCGAACTGGAATCGAATTGAGCCAACGTTTGCGACATTGCATATCGCATTAAATGCAAACGAGTTACACGAAAAGGATGGAAAGAATTTAAAATACAAATAGAACAGTGCAAACATGGCCACGGTTAATCAATGTTTCGTTTGCAACTGGTTATTTGAATTTCGTTTATGTACGATCGTTCACCCTCTTAATTTATCGATTCCAATTCGTTTCTTCCCTTTATTTCCTTCCCTCTGTATTGTTCCTCAACGCGTTCTTTTTCCGTTTATTTTACCGCTTGGTGCTCGAACACGAGCAACGGTTATTCGAAATTAATTTTTCCAGAGCGGGAATTTTTCATTTTTCGGATCGAGAGTTACTTTAAACCTTACTCTAAGTTACGTTCGATCAATTTTCAAACAATAACGATTCATCATTCGAATTTACCGTACTTTCCAGAATGGAAAATTTTTGCCAGATTCAGGATGTAAGAGGCGACTACGCACGTTCGACACGTGTTAACGCGATGTTTAATGGCTATCCTGACACGTTGACAAAGAGACGGAAACATTTCGTTGAATATGATCTTTTGATTGAAGTGTGGTCTGTAAGTTTGCCACTCCTCCCTCGTCGTTTGCTGGAAAACAACAATCACGGGATAATTATAGCGTTTACTCGAAAAGGGAAAGTATAAATATAACGTGTGATTTAATATCCGATTAACCTTCATCCCAGCGAACGATATCTGCACGAACGGGTTGATATTCTCGTAATCACTTTTCATACAGAAACTGCTCATGTCCGGCAAACCGTCGGCCCGATAAATCGTAAAAATGTACAAAGCACGCTGCCTGTAGGCTACAAATTCGCCGCCAACCGGCAGCAAAAGGTTCCTGTAATTATATTCGATTTCCATTAATCGGGCGGCGCGAAGCCGTGCATTTCGGGTCGGGGTGGCAATTCCCGAATCGATTTCGCGTCGCGTGAACATCGTGTAACGTTGGGAAAAAAAAAGAGGGGGGAGGAGGGGGGGAGGTGTCTCTATATATTCCATCACCGAGAGAAGGTTGGCAATATGTATGTAAATGAACGGTTAAAAGTGATATTATAGATCATCGAGAATTTTGAAATCTATGCGATCAATATCTCGTATTTTTTTTTTTTTTTCCATTACAATATCGATATTCGATTTGAGATTGAAAAAATGGACGATTCAAATTTGACGATTATTATTCGAGTAATTTTTTTTTTTTTTTCGATTAATATTTTCCAACATAATTTTATATACGAGTGTCACGGGATGACAGTTTAAAATGTAAATTGGAAATAAGACGGTGTCTTTGAAAAAGAAGAAGGTTTGAATTTTAATGCAATAAATATTAGAGCAGTTTTTAATGGGGTTATATTAAAGTTGGTCGGACAGGTATCGATTCTGACGAACAATATTAATGTCCGGTAAAAGGTCCACTAATTTTTAATTCGATTCTGAAGTACGTGCAAAGTTTCCTCCTCCATTCGAAAATTATTAATATCTTGTAATTAATAAGTGATATCGCAGTATAGTTTTAAAAAAAAAAAAAAAGAAAGGAAGAAAAAGAATGAAAGAATTACCCCTCGATGTCGTCCTCGCCCTCCGTCTCCGGATGCACTTTCATTTTCTCTCCCTTTACATTAATCGCTATATTACATTTAACGTAGCCTTTCGGCCCCGCGGAAAGATCCTTCGGATTTGTCAACATTGCCCATTTGTGAAAATATTGACGATCTGTATCGATTTTAATCCATTTTATCATTCGCGCTTTCCAATTATTTTAATATCAGAATCTATCATGGCAATTTAATCATGGTAAAAATCGAGTAATTTTGCGCATCACCTGGTTGATCCCAGACTAGAGCAATTTCGAAAGTCGCGTTTCCGTGAAATTTGTAACGTAGAAAAGTTTTCACGTGCACGGCTATCATAATTTTAGTGCTCAAAAGTTCGTCCAAGTCGCATAAGAAATCGAACACGAAGTACTGTAAGTAATAATTTAAAGAATTTAATAAATAGGGAAGAATCCGATGAAGTTTCTTAGGGAACGAAGAGGTTCTTCTTTTCGGTTTCACCTCGTTGAAGATTGGAGAATCCGTTTTTTTGCGAATCACGGTCTTTTTCCTCTTCTTCCCCACTTTAACCACCACCCTTGAATTTGCATTTTGGGGCAAATGTCTCGCTTTCAGAATATTTATGCAAACCTGATAAGCGTTTAGACGATATTTCCTGGGGCTCATCGCGTTTCGATATACTCGATTGTTTGTAGTGTACTTCTCCCTATTTGATATATCGTCTGTTTGTTTGGCGAATTTCATAGGATTGTTTGCGTATAGTTAATTAATAATATATCTTGATGTTTGATTTTACATCTCCAAACCCAAAAAAATATTTAAATCGGATTCATATTTTTTTTTTTTTAGCGAATTTTTGTCGATAACGAGAAATTCTGAAAAAAAATTTAATAATCGATTCGATAGAAAGAAACTATATATTAAGTATTATTAAAAGTGCAAAAATATGTACGAGAGGGAAAAGAAAAATTCCTGTATTATTTCAAATATAATAATCAATAATCGTAATAATTTATAAATTTTTTTTATTTACAATGTTGATGATTAAATTAACATTATTTGTCAAGCGATGATATCGAAACGACGAAAATTTCAACGAATTATTTATAAAATTGATAAATATAGTAAATTATTATACGTAAATAATTTATTATAAAGTTAATAAAATTAATCGTATAAGATTGAAAATTGTAAAATCGAAATATTTCATATTTAAAAATGTGTTAAATATTTGATTTGCGTTGTTATCGATGTCGTTAACGGCGCGTGACCTTACCCATCGAACGACTTACCGAGTGGGGAGAGAGACAGTTCCGCTTCGACCGCGGTAGTGTTTACACGCGTTTGGAATTACGCACGTCGATTTTCAATATAATTTCAATTCGTGCGTAATTTTCGTTTTTAAAATACACACGTTTTATTTACGAGTGTCTAAAGTATATATATTCGCGAGTGTTTAAAGTGCATGTGCTTTATTTGCGAGCGTTTATGGTATATACGTGAATATTTACGACTGTGACGATATTGCGTATTTTATTCGAGGTGAGAAGGTACATTTCGTTGTCGTGGCCAGAAGGAAGCTATCGTATTACCGGTGTAACAGTGTTATCTATAAATTTTAAGGATATTTCTCCACAAACGCGTGTGATTTCTCCAAAAACAGAGTAAGTTAATGCAACAGTTAAGGAGTAGCGCCATTTTTTAAGTGCTTTTAGAGAGATGTATTTGATATATAAAAGATGGCGTTGGTAGTCAATTCTTACTCTATTTCTGTCCTTTTCTTATTATTTCCTATCTTTGTCCGTTAGTTTCTTTATATTAATTTCATTTATGGCACTCTAGAGATGGCGCTAATTCCCTAATTTTTAATATATTCTCTCACTATTTGCTTTCTTTATCTTTAAGTCTTTATTTAATTTTTTGTTATATATTTCTTATTATAATTTATAATTTTTTAATTACTTATTTCTAACATTATGTTTTTATATACGTATGTTTATAATTTATTTTTGCAGGTATCACTTTACAAGGTCTTCGTAAGATGTTCGTCGTCATCGTAGAATATTACGTCCTTGTGCTTCATAACAATTTCTTCTTTGCATCTAATGGTGAGTCATTGTATTTTTATTTTTGTTGTGGTTGGTCGTTTAGCATGGAATTTTATTTTTCACGAATATATCGTTTCAACTATTATTTAATTATTGGATTTCCATACAAATAAATTTAATAATCAATTTGAATATAATTCTTAACTATTGCCGTTTTAAATCTCATTTCTCGCGTATTTCTTAATATTTCGTGGAATATTAAATCTCGTAATATAACGATAAGTCTCTGTATAAACCACTCTCGGTAATTTCAAGTTCTAAAATTCTGTCAGTATAACAGTGGGTAAAACAGAAATTGAAGCAGAAATTGATCCTTCATTCTGTTTTACCAACATTATTATTGATCCTTTACCAACCGTTATAAATATTTTAATAGATTCGCGTTCGACTAATATAAAATTTTGCACATACGCGAAAATTTCGATATAAAATTCGAATTTTCACCGTTCTTATTATAAACTTTCTCGAACGTTTTAAAAAAAATCATCCATCGAAGCGTTCGTGGTAATCATAAATCTGCAGAATTGCATTGCCCCAAGAGCGTTCGCTGCGCCGAATTTAACGCTGACTTTTCTAAAGTAATTTTTCCTGTTTATTGAACCGGATAATCGAATAAATCCAATTAAAACGATCCCATACAATTTTCGTAAAAAAATCTTCTATCGTATAAAAAAAACTGCATCGAGTTTTATCGTATCGAAGGAAAAATCAATAAATCGTACGATTCTGTTCTTTGAAAGATAAATTAAATCGATTAAATTCGAAATCGTGATAATCGTAAATCTTGGTGTTTTAATATCGTGAGAGACAACACGTGATTTCTAATATTTATACACGAATCAACGGCGGAACTCTTCTCTACCAGCTACTTCATGTTACCGGCCTGAACTGTCAGATACAAGTGTGTACTTCACACGTCAATTTGCGTACCGGTGTGTAAATAAAAATGGCGACGTGCTTCAACTTATTCCCCCCGATTATCACAGCAACGACTCGATCGATCAACGAATCGAAATTAGTCCACGCGTTTCGAACTGCAACTCGTGTTTATTGAATTATAGATTCGCCTTCTGAATAATTCAGCGACAATCGAAACGATAAACCGATTTTATGAAAAAATTATGAAACTATAGAATTTTATCATACAACGAATACATCTATTCGAATTATAACGAAGAAAATGAATTTTTTAACAAGCACTTGAATTAAACCTGATTTACAACCAGCCTCTTCCAACGAGGATGAATTAATCATAATAATTGGCGTAATTGAGAAAATTTCGAGATAATTCGAATACATGAAATCGAAAGAAGGAAGAAACAAACGGAGAAAGAAATCTCCATACAGCGTATAAAAGTCCAAAACAAGTTACATCAAGTTCAATATCTCTTTACTCCAGAGAAACGTGGTCGCATAATAATCTATAAATGTTCGTCTTCCTTCGAGTCGAACGGCTCGATTTCCCGCCAATAATCGGCCCGCTTTTCCTCTAATGGAGCGGTATCGGTGACACGCGTCGTGGACAGGATAGAAACGTCACGTCGTTTCGGACCCCCAGGTTTTCTCTATGTGGGGGGCGTGGTGCACGAAAGAGAAACGCGCGGAATAGCGTAGGGCGTGCACGCGCAATTCAGAAGCTATTATAGGCACGCGGTTTATTTCGACACGTGTCCTTACGCGGATCCCCGCCGTTCCTAAGCACGGGCATTCGCCGCAAATCGCGCCATGCATTTTCGCTAATTGTACGTCGCTGATTTATCGAGGGTGGCGAGCGATCGGGAACGAGAATCACGCTTCTGACCTCTCGAATTTCCATCAGTTTTCTATTTTCTACAGATACCGACGAGAGATGTCCATCCTCTCGTCACGATTCCCATTTCACGATTCATTCCGTTCGTCTTAAATTGTTCGTCTTGATGAATCGATGGTGACGAGAAGAAGGTTCGAAAGAAGGCCCGTAATTACGCGTAACCATTGCAAATTTGAAAGTTTGCTTTTATTCTTCCCAAATTTCCTAATTTTAGTTTTCGAAGATAGATTTTCATCGAACATCGATACTTTTTTTTCCTCGAATACTTTAGAAATCCAAGCGAAATTATTAGTTATCGCGGTAACCGACGACACGAAAACCAACAACGGAACAAAAAAAGAGAGAGAGAAAGAAAGAGGGCGAGCCCTGCGAAAGAAGAAGCAAGATAGGATGGAGGGGAAAAAAACATATTCCAGCACGTATTAGCGGATAGACATGTAAGTTAACCCCGGTAACTGGTGGAGGGCACGAGCCTAGGAGCGTGTGCACCCTGTGGGGGTTGCGCCGTTGGGGGTGTTCGTTATATTCCGAGTCCTTTTGAAAAGGGTCACGTGGCCGAGGGGGAGGAGGCATCGTGCCCCCTCGAGCCGATATCGTATTTGTACAACACGCATCCATTATTGCAATCCGGCTGTTTGTGTGTTTTGCGCGCTCTTTGAGTTGCGCGAGCGCACACGCCTTCGTTTTCTTTCGATTCGAGCGGCCGCCCTCTCGGCTTTTCGCACACTTGTCCTCCCGGCTTGTTGTGCGAGCGAAACGCAGGCCCATTATTGTGCCGTGAAACAATGAGGCACTCGCGATCGGCGGAGTCCACTCGACAGAGCAGAGAGAGAGAGAGAGAGAGAGGAAACCGGCTCTTTCGTTTCGCCGGATCACGTGGGAAAACGTCGTCGCTTTATTCCTTTCTTTCTACTTTTTTTTTCCTCTCTTTCTTTCTTTTTCATCTTTATTCTTTTTTTTATTCTCGTCCTTCTTTCGTTGTTTTTTTTTTTTTTTTTTCGTTCCCTCGATCGGAATATCGATGTGGGGGTGCTGCTCTCAAATAAGCAGCGCGTGGGAGAAGTCAGCTTTGAACAAAGTTTTTGAGGAAGTTTTGAGATTTATATATACGACTCGTATATCTTTTTTTTATTTTTCACGCTTCTTTTGCATCGATTTTATGGGAAGGGTTTAATTATTGAGTTTTCCATTTTTATTAAGTTCAATTTCTGTTACAATTACACGAAGGCAGAAGATAATGGAAACGATTTTTATCTATCTATTTTCTTTTCTTTAATCACTGCTTGTAAGCGAACTGTAGCAACTTTGGGGAGAAATACAACAATCAAAATTATTTTCATACCGCTTAAATTAAATTTCAATGATATTTATCCCCAAAGATGCTCGCACAGCTCGTTCGAAATCTTCGAAATCCTTTTGCCGGCGAGACGACGCCGCCCCCTATTGCCAATTTCCAATTCGCAACGCGGACAAAACGAACGGGAAATAAATCCCCTCGGAGCGGAAAGGATTGGCTCGCGCTCGCCATGGGTGGCTGCGGTTATTTCGAAGCGGCCATCGTCCAAATAGCGGAACATTATCCTATCTCCCGCGGTGGATGGAGGACGCGTTGTACCTGCTGCACCTCTCGATATGATCCTCGTGCGCAACGGTGTCGTGTCCACGATGATGGGATGACGGACCGCGGGCGTGTCCGAGTAGCCGATACCGGGCGCGTGATCGGCAGACCTCCCGGGGCCGACCACCCTCGAGGGGCCACGAGGGTCGACTTGTTAGCCAGACACAACGAACTAACGGACCGCGCTCTGCTCCACCGACGACAGCCACGGAGCCGACAATGTTTCTGCGAGGGCCCCCGCTTTGCATCGGCCGCATCTCCTCCTCTTCTTCTTCTTCTTCTTCG